CATTAAAACAGCCAAACCTGCACCAGCGGTAAGTTCTGTATTTTCAGATATCTGACAAATCAAATCATTTCTGAGTTTCACAGACATTAATGACAGAGAGGTGCAGTGGTTTCATTTGCTTACGCTTGAATTATTAATCCTGACACATCACACGGGCTCATGAACTATTCTAATTTCTTTTCTGAATTTTTTTGCCTCTTATTCTTGCAAGGAACCAAATCCAGCTGAAGAGGTATTACTGCAGACGATTTAGGTTTTGAATGTAGTGGGTGGCTAGCTGCGTGGTTAAAGACTACTTCAGGCTGTAGTGTGGCAGATGGTGTTCCCTCACTCAGTGTGTAACTGATACATGTGATGATTGTGTGACTTGTATTCTTTGTCTTCACAGCTCACAGAAGCAGCTGAGAACCAGGTAAAAACTCACTGAAAAAGGTCTCAGTGGGATTTCTTCATTTCAGATCCACTACCAGTACAGTTACAAACCTTTTGTTATTACTGTGTTTAAATACCTCCTGGGCTGTGTTAGAAGTGAGTTCCCTGCGTTTCTGTTGTTTAGCTGGAGAATAAATGTTTGAATGTCGGAGTTTCGTATTTCTCCTCTAACACATCACAAGATGATGTCTTGGTGTGGCAGTGTGTTTGTACTGTCGCGTGTTGTTCAGTTCAGTGTAAAGCAGGGTTCACAGCTGGTTGACAAACATGATAAATTCTCAGTTGTCTGCATTTCTAGCTTTGCTTTGTTCTTACTAATCTTTCCTACATCTCCCTCGATATTGTTGCGGTCTGTTAGGGTGAGATATAACCTTAATGCTTCTGCAGTTATTATATTAAATGTCTGGTTTTGAAACTTTTGCACCTCGATGCAGCCTCTTTTGTTTTTCAGGAGGGACGCAGCCCTTTTTTCTGTGTTATGTTAAAATGTCACTAGATGGCAAAGATTTCAGTTTTCAGATAAAATAATTAATTATAGTTACATCTGTGTGTGCTTGTCTTCAGTCATTCATTTTTTTTCTTTTTTGTTTTTTCCTTTAACACAGTCTAAGAGTCCAGTGAGAATACCTCGGCCTGCATCTGCCAAGGGGCAGCGGCGAAGACCCAAAATGGGAGATCAAGGTGACACCCGGCACCCCCTCCTTCAGCTTTATTTATCAACAGCAAGAATATATATTTAATAAAAATGTGGCAGAAAGACTTTTTAGTTTGATAGTTTTCTTTTTACGCTTCAATAGTAAAGTAACTTGCTCATTCGCCTTGCTGGGAAATGGGGTGGTTGGGGTGGGGGGGGACTTATAGTAGGTTTAATAATTATCCATCCATCCATTCTCTTCCACTTATCCGGGATTGCATTGTTGTGTAAGTAATACATTTTTTTTATTTGTTTCCCTGCAGAAGAATCTGACAGTGAAGGCGGTGAGTGCTTGCTCTCTTTTATGAGTTCATTTAAAGAAAACCAAAGTTT